TCATTTATCTGTGTTTGCTTTGACACGGTCCAAACTGGAGTTTTGCCACATGCACATGCAGTACTCCGGCAGCCGGCAATTACCTTTGACAGGCAGGTTAAATTGGCAAAAAGGGGAGAAAAAATAACTTTAAATTGGTCTTATGTTATCACTAAAGTATTTACCAGGCAACAGATTCTGCAGAATTTGTACGCTGTAGAGCACTTCTTTTTTTTTTTCAGGACATATTTCATTAACTGACAACAAAGCCACGAAAACTTTGCCAGCGGATTGTACCAATACAGCATTGTGAGCTTTCCAGGCACTGTTTGGACCCAGTAAGAGGAACATATTCTTTTTGGTGGGTCAGGTTTGGAAGAAAAAGGACGGGATTCTCCTGCTGCAGAGACACCAACCCTCACATCTCTGACTGGGATGAAAGCGGCTGGCCCCCCCCAAGATAAAAGTCTGAGAATTTGCAGCTGGAAACTGTGAATTAGGAAAATCTCACTCGCCTCCCCGGTGAACGCGTCTGTCACGGTCCAATGAGAGACACGGGGTCCAGTCTCCGAGGAAAGACTACTGGCAGGAGCAGTGCGTCTCCGTACAAATTCAGATCGCGAGTGCTCGCTTCATAGTATGTCTCTTATATTCACACGTGTCCTTGGAAAGCTTGATTTGTAGATCGTCATTTTTAGCCTTCAAACTGCTTTACACTCTTCTGAAAGGTCGCCCTCGCGTTAATAACCGCGACCGGATCGACATAAAATGATGAGCATGATCTGACTGCCTGCATAACCCCAAAAAACTGTTTTCTAGTTTGACGACAAAGTGCTGCAGATCACACAACTCGTCTGTTACACACTGTACACAAATGAAGAATTTGACGCAGAGTGGCGTGTGTGTGTCACAAAGAGAGAGAGAGAGATTAGGTTTGGGGCTGACAAAGCATCCTCAATGAACCTCTTCAAACCGAATCTCTCCTCAGGCTCTCTTAAAACACACTCATACTTGTGCACATTGAATTCTTCGCATTCTGGCCGGTTTAACTGTGTCCAGTTAAAGGCTGTGGCGGAAGGGTCGATGCACAACACGTGACTCCAGCTCCAGAGTTTCCTGGTTTCAATGAATTATTGCTTCTTTAGGATTGAAACAAAACCAGACAACCCATTTTCAGTGGCAGACGCAGTGTGCAGACGCGAACGTAGACGTGAAGATACAATCATATCACATAGAGCAGGGACGTGTCGGCCAAAGGCCTTCAATGTCCAAGACATATGTTGACCTTTCAAATGTGGGGTACTCTTTGTCAACGTGTGGGTGGCGACTGCCATTTGAGCTCTTTGATTTGAATCACGGGTTCTCTGCCACACAAGACGATTGTATAAAAAAAAAATCCGATCCTTAGTAAATGAAAAGGTTAGCATTTCTTTGTTTACACCTTCGTTTTCACAAAACTGCTAGTAATGTATTTCTGGGCTTCAAATGTGACATTGGACTTTGTACAAAGTTGCTCAATAGTTGCTGCTTACACAACGCACAACAACCCAATACAGCTACCGAAACTAGTTCTGAGGTCGGAATAGAAAAGGCACACTTTTGTACATTTTTTAAACAGACATCTTTAAAAAACTACTTCAAACACTTATTTTGTGCACAATCCAGAGGTGTGAAGAGTCATTATCTGTATCGATCTAAACCTCCCTCTCTCCCCCTCTCTCTCTGGCTCTCTCTCTCCCTCTCTCTTTAATTAAACCAAGTTCCAACCCTCTCTTTAAACTTGGGGCAACAGAATAATTACCATCCGCCGCTGATATAGCCTACAGCATGGATGAATATTGAGCACAAGCTAAATAGGTGATTTCATATTTTGACCTTTTCTTGTTTGATAAATGGGGGATATATTAACACACACAGCCGCAGACTTCTGGTTTGATGAGTTTGATTTTGATGTACAGGCTGCAGGTCGGACGATGTCCTTCTACGTAATAACTGGCCGTTCGTTTTCGGGTTAACAGGCTGTCGGACAAATATAGTTCCGTCCCGACGGGGCAGTTGGGGTTTCCAGAACAATGGTGCATCGTCACAATGGGCAGAAACCCATCTCGGCCCTCCTCTATGACGGCAGCTCTTTTCCCCCCGCTGCTTGGAGGCGTTAGAACACTTTGGCATTCAGACGTAGCCTGAAGACATGTTGGACGTTCGAGTTGGTTTCAAACAAACCGAGGCCTTTAGCCTCTGAACTGGAGGGTCAAGTATGCCGCCAGTAACCCAAACTGGTAAATGAATGAGCCTGTTGTACAAGATTACTGGTCCCACGATGAGCCTCACCAGCTCAATCGCTAAGGCCTGAAAAAAAGGGTTCTTTTAAATGTAATTTCATCATTTTTTGGCTGCATGAAACATTGTTTGATTGGTGTGTGTGTGTGTGCGTGAGTGTTTGTGTGTCGAGTTAACCTCTCCTCATCCTCCACTTCCTTTCTCTTCTCACATGTACACACAGAAACACACACACACACACACACGGCCGGGCTGTAAATGTCGCGGGCGGAAATGAAGCCACCTGTGGTTCCGTGGTTTCATCGGAGCTGTTATATTTATCCGACCCTCTCCGGTGGTCACTCATACACGTTGATTTATTCCGTCGCCTTTCAGACGCGGCCGGAGCACAGAGGGAGACGAGCAGAGGGCGTCCTACTGGAAACATTATGAAAGGCCATTTTCTTTCCGTCAAGCGTTCATATCTACGATGCGCACGTTCTTATTTGTGGCAAAGGGGGGGCAAAGAAAGATCCGGAGGCAGAAGGTTTTACAGGAGATTAGCACAAACACCCGGGAGCTGCCCTGAGGTGCCCCTTTCTTCTGCTGTGGGATTGTAAGTAACTTTGTGGGACATTAAAATGATGTGTTTTTTTTTAAAAAGACCCTAAAATACAAAAAAAACCTCCACCAAACCAAGAATCAATTTCTGGGTGTTTTTAGTCAACAGCCACTACGTACTCGCTCACAGAAATAGCGTCCTTGAAAGCGTTGAATACACCGTTAACGTAGCGATGCAGAGCTCAGGATGAATGTGTGCTGCTGCTCCAGCCGCACTAATCAGTATTAAGTATTAATTTTTTTTTTTGTTTACAACCCAGTTTTGCACATTTCCCCTTACCTCATTTCTGCCTTGTAAATATGTAAATGTAAATATTGTATTTTAATTTTAATTTTAAAATTGGTCGGCTTTCCAGAAAAGGCAAGCATAAGAATTTCAATACACAGGGGGTGTGTATTTGACAATAAAATCTTGAATCTATCAGTGTTCCACATATTCCACATATTTGAACGTGATGGAGGCAGCTTCTCCTTGACGTGAGTCAAGGCCGCCTGTGTAGTGAATTTCCCCGGAGCGATGAAACCTGCCCGGAGCACATTGGGCTGCTGGTGGCTCCATTGTTGCTGTAAACAACTGAGGAAGACTGTTACCCGACCTTTAGCACTGAAGAGGCGCCGAGAAGGAGTTTGTTTCCGATCGTGTTTCAGAGTATTTTTGATAAAATGCCAAAACACAAATAAACTTTGTACTTGATTTTCACGTCAAATGTCCAGTGAAGTATTTGTTTGATGCACAAAGAGTCTATATAAATCTTGAAAAATGCAGCTGGAAAAGCTCACAGCCCTTAAGTGTTAACTAAAATGTTAGATAGATATTAGATATATGCGTCCTGCAGTCACGGGGTCAGAGACACACACACACACACACACACACACACACACACACAAAAGCCCTTTCCCCTCAGTGAGCCCTCGTCCCCTTCCTCTCTATCGGGTCTTCATGGGAGAAGGGAAACTGGTGAAATGATTCCTGACGTGACGGATCACAGCGCGGCACTGGCTGAGCCTTCTGATATCAACACTCTTCTGCCTGACTGTGGACGGGTAAGGCGCCGGGGGGGGCGGGTGGGATTTGCAATGATTTCCCCCGGCTGTAGCTCTGGCTGTGTCTGCTCGGCTGACTGCAGCCACTGGTGCTACTGGTGCTAGCCCACAGAAATGCAGTTGCATGGAAAGCGATGCCTTAAATTCACTTCAAGTTTGTCTTTGAGTTTGTTCTTTAAGTTCATGGAACCCGAGACTTCTTTTAGAGAACACGGGGCTTTAGGGTTTCTTTCTCCCGGGTTGGGTTGGACGTCCGATGCTTTCGTTTGGAGGTACAGCATGAGAGCACAAAGGGTCTGAAGTGTCAGTTCGGCTCCCATCACTGAGCATCACTGTTAGCCTCTGTTACGACTCAGCAGGGGGGGGGGGGTGGAGCGCTCTCTTACAACATGAAGAGAATACACAGATCAATAGGAGGGATAATGAGAGCAAGCTGCAAAGTGTCAAGTTGTGTTGTTCTTGAGGCAGGCGTATTCTTTTTGAATAGCCTCATTCTGTATAAAACATCAACCCTCGCCTTCGGAGACATTTGTAACGAGTGAAACAGAAATTCCTGTGATGTAATCTATTGGCAAGACCAACGATTGTGTTTAAATCCCTTTCTTCCGTCTCTGAGCCGCGTCTCAGAATAGCCGACGCTTTCGGGGGACGTCTGTCCAGACAATGACTGGACCATAGAGGTCGGGACGGGGAAATGACAACGAGGAACGCTGCGTTAGCCGCCGCGGCTTGCATTGGGAGCACGGGGTACGAAGATACCTGCTAACACCTGCTGACTCCACTGCAAACCTTCTCCAAAGTCCTCCACGGTGCTCACACAGCAACAAAGGGCTTCATCAGTGTGTGATGGTCGGGAACGCTGCTCATATGCATACCGAGACGCTCTGAGCTGAGAGCCACAATGACTTTTTTGGCGTGTTTTGAGTCTTTTGGTTTCCTCACGCTGTTTTCAGTTAAAACTCACTATTAGGATTTATCAAAGTTCCAATTCAACAGGTCGCCTCCCAAAAGAAAGGAGAGGAGGGCAGAAACGCGGCGTCGGACAGAGGAGGGAGAGATTCTGGGTCCGATTTCTTTCAGAATGAAAAACGTGTTACCTTCAAGGATGACTTCTTTGCCGGTTTTCTTCAGCGCTTGCACAGCCTCGTCGTGCGTGGCCTCCCGTAGGTCATAACCGTTGACAGACAATATGGCGTCACCCACATAAAGCGCCTCAGTCTGGTCAGCAGCGAGGCCTTTGAATATCTTGGAGATGAGGATGGGCATCTTGTTCTCCTTCCCACCTGCATGAAAGGAGGGAAATCATTTTTTTTTAAGGAACCTGCTGCTTTTGCTGCACGTTATGCGTCCATTCAAGTTTGGTCCGTGCGACCTCAAACCTCAGCTTCTGACCCCTGATCAGATTTACCGGGGTTTACTGGGAATTAAGTTATTTTCTACTTAGTGCTGCTCAAGCTAAGAGCTCCGGACGGCACGCTCGCAAAATCGAACGTGGTATGTTCTTCAAGTCTGCGGAACACGCCGCTGGGATTATATGGCGACGTTGGACTAGAAGGTATGGAGTTTGCAACCCGCAGCGGAGAAGACGATACCAGAACTAATAACTGACACTGACACCCGAGACAAAGATTACAGCTTCATTTAATGTAAAGATGGAGTCATTATCAGTGTGTTGTCCAGTGACTGCATGTCATTAGATACGGGACGTTGCCAGGCAACGACATAACTGCACCCTTGTTTTGATTCCGACCCCTGCCATCCCCAGGAGACTTCAGTCATCCGAGCTAAAGAGAGCGCATGAGGACAGCGGCGATTACCCTGTTGTACTAACTTCCGCAGTTTCCCATCTAGCCCTCTCTCTCTCTCTCTCTCTCTCTCTCTCTCTCGTTATGTGAAGGTCAGCTAGTGAGCTGATTGATCTGTTTGCTGTGGGCCTCCACTCTCCGTAAGAAACGTCGTCATTAACGTCGGCCGGCAGTTGGGACTCTGGCCTTCAGGCTGCTGGGAAACGATCCGTAAGAGGATTACATTTAATTCATTTTAAATACGTCTTCCACAGGTTGCTTTCTCCTGGTGATTACTTAGAGATTTGACTCCTGGATCTCCTTCTAGCGGCCACTGCCAAGTGTAAAAACACACAAACCCATGCTATGCATGCCAGAAGGTATCATGATAAGATTTGAGAAAGGATCTACCAGCCTTCTGATGTTGTTTCCTGCAAGGTCGAGTAGTAAAACTGAGGCGATTGTGACGGGTCTCTACAAATCTCTACAAAAATCATTAACTTGAATAGAAGTTTTGAGTTTCCCATTTAAAGGTCTGCACAGTGCAATGGACAGTCGTTGTACATTGCAAACTTCACCTCACGCAAAAAGCACCAATAATAGGACTCCAATAATGTAGCATCCAGTTAGCTGGAAGGGGAGCGGGAACTGAACCAATAAAAAAGAGCAATCTTGGGCGACTGTTTGGTGAAATGAAGGCATGAAATGAACCTTTGTACCGACTACACCCGATCAGTGGAGGAGAGAAGTTTAGCCAGAGAGACAGAAAGAGAGAGAGAGAGAGAGTTACAATTCCACATATCCACACCGTATCCTTGGTAAAGCACTTTGACTTACCCTATTAAATATACCATATGATGTACAAATAAAGTTACACTGTGTCAACTTTGTAACAAAGGGAGATTGTTTTGTTGGGTTCCTTAGGAGAACTATTTGGCTCCGTATGAAAAGGTGGTAGGCTGTGTATTTACTTACAATACCCCGGGGTAATAATTGCAACCGTACTCCTCTGGACTTGTTTAGCAGAGGAACTGTTGGTCTAATCAGAGCTCTCTGAAATTCTGAAGCTGCAAGGTCTCAATGTTCTTTCCTCCAGAATTGATAATGCATGGGACAGGCTGTTCTAAGCAGCTGTGAGAGAACCTGGGTTTGCTGATTGGGCCGAATACAGGGGGCTATATATTGGCTTTCCAAATGACTTGGCATCTGCATCAAAATGACATGGAGGCAGGATATATTTAGATCAATAAGGAGATAAAATGACTTGTTGTGAGTGAACGTTGTTTTTTTCCCCTCCCGCTTTGCCGAACTACAAAATCTGACATTTTGGGCAGCCAGAGGAGGTGAGGACCAGCCCCAGCGACAAGTACTGCACACATCACCCCACCTCCACCTTTATATGACCTTTCTATTTCTCTTCCTCTCTTTGCATCTCGTCAGGTTTGCTTGCAAATCCGAAACACCTTGTACTGACAAGGCTGCTGGATCAACACGGTTGACGTATTATAGGGAAAAATACAGCCAACATTTCTGCCACTCCTACACAAGCCTTAATCCACCCGTGTTCCCTGCCCATCCCTTATACCTTTTTCTTTTTTTTCATGTCAAACCCAGTTCATCACACTCCAGCTGGGCGGCCTGTCACTGAGCTGACAGGAGCCGGTGGCGGTGGAGGTGGAGGCTGGATTGCCGCCCACGACAGGTAAACGAACCGTGCCGCTTTCTCCAACACTGACGTGTAGCTAATTAGGTAACTTTTATTTATTTTTTTGCTAACAATGTGTCGGTTGTGATTTTGTTCCTTTCCAAGAATTCAGTATGATCAGCACTTTACTTCTTCAGGCATCAGCTGCTATGCAAGCACGGGTAATGAGCGCTGGGAAGAAGAAACACCAGAAAGGAAGAGCTACCGCGAACCTTCACGATAACGTGGTTACATGTCCCTGATGAGCCCCTGCAGAGCCACATAAGGAGAGAACAGCTTTTTAATAATAGATTTGTTACATAAGAATGCACCAAATATTTGTCTATTTGCACATCTGAGATGTTCTGTGACAAGAGTTTGTGGCATCGAAATATAGTTCTCCTTGATGATCTGAGCATTGATTTGAACTCGGAGTGAAGTCACACCTATATGGGATAAAAAAAATAAAAAAAGGAATACGCAAGGAAGATTTATACAATATCAGGGACGCTATTTAATACAAGCCGTGTTAATGGGAAAGCAGCAGGCCCACACCCAGTTGTACCTCACTCTGACCTGTGGAGCTGTCTAGAGATCTGGAGCCTCACTTCCTGGCCTCTCCTCTTAAATTTAGACATGTGAGGGGAGGGTTTCGACTGCCGCCATGCTTTTCTGCACCCCGGGGTGGGCTCCCTAAAATTAACATGAGTGGAGTAGCCCATTCCCAGCCACATAGCTTTCATCTTTGGGCAATGACAACTGCTTGCTGTGCGGGTAGCTCCTCTCAGCTGTTCACAATGCGGCGTCATCTGGCACGCTCGTTCATTTCCTTCCCCTGGTTTCTTTTCCGACATTTTGTCCATTCTTTACTTTTTCCTTGCTGCTTGTTGGAGCTCTTTTTTTTCCCATATATGTCTTGCTTTTTCTAGACCTTCCTCCCTGCCTTTGAATAACAGGCCATCACTGCAACGTCGAGCCGCCAGGGTGCCAGCAATGATTTTGTTTTAATAGCACGCTGTCGGATCGTCAAAGCCACCCATTTCCACCAAGATGGACATTACATTTATGTCATCAAGGGCTGGCTTTGTTTGCTGTTGGAGGTGATGCTGGTGGCGATGGCGGTGGAAGGGGTGGGGAGGGTTCGAATTACCATGTCACCATCTTTGCAACATGACAACGGCGGTTCTCCAAGGCGGTCCATCCAATGGGCCGTTCTATCAAAACATAGCTCCAAGAAAATAACTATTGCTCAGACTGCGTTAGCGCCGCGCTGTCCCCTTTTATCTTTTGTGTTTCGATGACACGGCTCCCTCCCGCCCTCATAGTCTTCCTCGCGCCGAGATTTCCACTCAGATATCGGCCCGTATCAGCGGGTCGAAAAGAAACCGGACGAGGACAAGGCCTTTTTATCAGACGCCGAACGAGCAAACAGCGCGGGTGCGCAAGCCTGGCTTGTAAGACACGGAGAGGTCGCGACCTTTCACCGTTGAAAGTCAACAGGAGCGACGGCGCCACCGTGATGCAGCCATCACTAGTTTTGTCAAACCAGTGATGTATTTGCTGTTTTTCTCTCTCTCATACAGCCTCTTCCAGAAATATGGATGAAAAAAAAGAAACAAGTGTTGTAACACAAAGCAGTTCATGTTTGTTTATTTTGTCGAGAGGAACATGGAGCTCGTTGAAGGTCTCTTCCCAACGCGAGCATTGCTCTCTGTTACAGTTTTAAAGGGGCGTGTGCGACGTAACCAGACTTTGGAGAAACACGTAGGTCGTCACGCAGCCCCCCCCCCCCCCCCCCCCACTCCTCTCCCTGACCCCCCCCCCCCCCCTCGTCCAGGTGAGCGCGAGATAATCCCAGCTGTCATGTCTCTGTTTTTTTTTTTATCTGCGCAAACAACAGCCGCTGTAACTCGCCTTCGGGGCCGAGTTGGCGCGCGCATAAGATATGTGACCGAGCGCGCGAGCTTTCGTCCCGCGACGTCACGTACGCGGTCGGTCGGTCGGTCGGTCGGTCCGAACTTACAGTTAACGTCAGCCAACGTGAAACTCCCAACAAAACTTTCGCCGAATGAAAGCGACTCGCCGTCCATGAAGTAAGTCGTTGGTCTTTTAAAAAAAAGAAAAGTATCCCACCTTTGATACTGATTCCGAGTCCTCCGACGTCCTGCTTGGTAACTCGCACGGTGCGCTTCACGTTGGTGATGGTCTCCGGGACCGGGGACGAGCTCAGGTTCGGCGGGTCTCCGTTGATCGCACCGGCGGGACCGCTCGGGTTGGCGGGCTTGGCGGGCTCCTCGACGCCCTCCCCCGGGTTGACCGTGAGCGCGTCCTCGGTGAGAGTGGCCAACACCCGGATCCAGCGGTCCACGGTCACTCGAAGTTCCAGCAGTCCCGTTTTCTGCGCCCTCATCGCGGCAGCCATGTTCAACGCATTCCTGGAATAACTGTAGAAGGGCTGGCAGTCCTGTAAAGAGATAGGGGAGGGGGGGGGGGGGCTAGGGGGGAGACACACACACACACGCGCAGCGGATTCTCTCCTCCCAGACTTCGTCCCACTCCAAAGAGCTTCATCCAGCAGTAAGAAGTAAAGTTAATTGAGGGTGATACGATTAGCGACGGTGTTGACACACACACACACACACACACACACACACACACAGTCAAAAGTTCAAAGAGCCTCTTATTGAGTCCCTACATCAATGAACTGTGTGCAGTTGACTCACACATAATTAAGTTTTGGATACTTTTGAAATAAAATAAATCTTTTTTTTGAGTGTATTGAACCACAGATCTAATTTGCGATGTGCCCAGCAGACGCTAAATCGTTGCACTGATCTACAGGCCTACAAGACCCTCAGTCATGGGGGGGGGGGGGTTTAAAATGAATCGTGCTTCAAAAACCAGATATACTGCTGTGCCTTTCCAGCTGATAGAGCTCACATTAAGGCATGACATCCACACATTCATCTTCAGTTGGAGCTGTGCGGACAGAAAACACGCTTACCTAATTATACCACGCTGTCCCACCAATCTCTCATCTCGAAAGGCGGCGGGCTGTGCTTTGTCGCTTCTTGTTCAAAATGCAAAGAAATTATAGCAACTCACGGCTCCTTGGTTAAACTGTTGGGTGCACATCAGAGCTGTACCCATCTGAGGGATACACGATAAAGGCTCTCCTATATTTCCTTTATTTTCTTCCAGCTTTCATCAGTCTGATCCATCAAGCAATTCCATTCATTTTAAATCCACCACCTGATAGTTGTAACCTTTCAGTTTAGTGAGCTATATTTCAGCAGTGATGACAAATCCATTTGGTCTCATCTTGGTGCTTTGGTGACTCAGCAGAGGTGCACTTAATTGCACAAAGTAGACATTAAACATATGCACGAGTCACTGAAACAAGCTGATGAGGCAGTCCACGTTCCCCGTGCTCTCATCTGCAAGTCATCCGCCCGCAGCCCTTCAGCTGCGTGTGTGGCCGCCCGTGATGCATCTGCTTCACAGCAGGTGAAAAAGCAAAGAGGTTCCAGCATCCAATTTTAGAAAACACACGGGCGATTGCTTCAGAGATGAAAACAAGTTTGGGGACGTTGACTGCAAACAGTTTAAGCGATGCTCCTGCTCTTCACTAAACCTCTCTCGTAACGCAGATAATCAGATACACTGCGCTCCTATCCAAGCTGCTGCAGTCATTCAGAATGGTCGACTTTTAATATTGAGATGTATTTTCATTTCCCTGAGCTGAGTTTAATGTATTCATTGATAATGCATAGACAAGCTGAACGTCCTGCGCAACACCGGCTTTTTCCTAAATCTTTTGTTTCCCTCTAGTGGTTAAATGGTGGCATTACTTCAAGGCGGATACAAAAGCAACATCTTTTTGAAATTCAGGCAGACATTTGGCAACGCATATTCAACGTTTTCCTTTTTTGTATGAAAAAAACATAATAAAATGTATTATTTACGTTGTGGTGCCATTTAAAGTGTGATGTATTAATTGTTCTACCACAATAGAAAATAAATAAATATACAAAACAACTAAATGCCAAAATTGAATACAGAATTTTTCTCTAGAACCAGACTGCAGTAGTGTCATTTATCCGACCCTGCGGACGCCTTTTACCAAGATTGATCTTAATGTCATTCATAGATTAATCTCTTAAACATAGATTAAAGACAATTACTCTGCCATCAACTAAAATACTACATCACACTACAGTAATCTGTCCCAGGATTAAATGCACCACAGTTATTACACGCATACAGTGAAAATACATGTGGCTCTGCATAGAACTCAAGTCATGTAGGATTCTAAGAAACACTAAATTTGGGTTACATTCACAGAGGTCTTGTTTTATGAAATATCTTTTTTTTTGCATTCGGAAGTCCTCAATCTGCAAAAGTTATGTTCTCTACCAAAATGATTTATTTTTGATGATGAGGGCACTTGCAAATGACAGGTTAGAACAAATTGTAATGTTTCCTTTAAACTCTTTAGGTGAAAGTATGTGAAATGTGCACGATTCAAACTTTTTGCACAAAAAGAAAAAGGCTTTGTAACTGCTGCAGGGACATGGTTAGCTGGTTAGGTGGACTCATGAATACATGCATGATAATGTTGGAGCGAGCATTGTCTAGCAGCTCCAGTGAGAACTAATATACATTTTTTTGATGATACTGTTTTGCAAAATAACAACTGCTAACTGGAAGTTTTGTGCCCCCGACCGGCCTAAAATAGCATTAACAGACAAATACATACACAGACTCAACCAGGCGGTCTCGTTAAAATGTGCAAGACGGGTACAAACACGTCTAACAAAGATATCAATACGGTTGTTTAACGCCCCCCCCCATAAACGTTCACCATTGTTTGTAAACTCATTGTTCAGAACCCCCCCCCCACACACACACACACACACACACACATTACGTGTACTATTTAGCACATCAGTAGAACAACACTTACTAACAGCTCAGCAACAATGTCGGTGCCGGCCTTAAGCCGTGCATCTACCCAATGATGTTTAGCATTAAGACCAAGCGTTTGACCATCTGACCTCCTGTCTGTACATCTGTCAGTCTATTGCTTTGTGATGTTAATAGCAGGTGGCCAGCCTCATTTTCACAGTACCAGGCTCTTTTATATACATATATATACATTTTTTTTCAAAGCTTTAGTGAATGGAACATCAGGATTTGCAAGGATCTCTAACAGACAAAATAATAGAATGTCATCTCATAAAAACACATTTAGAGTTGATGTAATGCACTGAAAAGTTTCTATTCTATTGAACTATATTTACCTCTCGAAGTATGTTGGCAATAATACTAATTTTTGGCTGTTGTCCAGCATATTTTATACATTGTGAACATGCTGTATATACATGTAGTTATATTTTAATTCAAAACAAGAGTGATCATGTAATGTGGCACTGTTATACATTTGACTACCCAGCGGTATATAAAATATTTGAAATTATTCCTAGCTCGACCAACAACAACAATGCGTCAATGACATGAATTAATAATACAATATATATATAATATGGTATCTTCAGAAGAACAATCCTAGAAAAAATATGAGTTGCAAATAGTTGTTAAGTACGAGGATCAATGCAGGTCTTTTTTGTGAAATTTAAATATTTTGCAGTGAAGTGCTTTACTTAAATAGAAAATCGGAATATTTCTTCAGCACTGATTGAATTAAGTGGAAAAAATATAAAACAATATAGATGACAAAGAATGCAGAGGTGTAGAAACAAATAACTTTCCCACAAGAAAATAATATACATTAAAACACACTTGTATTTGTTGTTATTTTACCATAAAAAAAAGAGACATTTTTATTGTTTTGTTTGTGGACATTTATAGTGTTTCTAAGATGCTCAGGTAATTGCAATAGTGGTTTAAAAGTAAAAAATGCCCAATAATGTCTTTGTAAATCTATTAAATACATTATATCAAGTGTCAGAATAAAAAAAAAAACCTTATGTTAAGTCCGCCAACAGCAAGGTACACAGACACTTCAAATACTGAACACACTCCAACCCCCACTTGCCGTCCCTCCTCCCCCGGTTCAATCAGCCACATATATGCATGTCTCAACTCCCCAAAGACAGTGGACAGTTGGGGTGGCCTGCTGATTAATTTCAACTTCCCCTCCCTCTGCCTCCTCCTGCCACCCTGCAACCATCTCTGCATCCCTCCATCCATTCCTCCCCTTCTCTGCGAAGGGCAACAGCTCCAGAGGTCCACCATATGGGCTGCTGTCTGAGCGGCTGACTGCCTGCAGCTTGCATGTGTGTTTGTGTGTGTGCGCGTTTGTGTGTGTCATTCAAGTCTGTTCTGACTGTTAGCCTGCCCCACCTGTTTTTCTGCAACAACAGACCAGACCCCCTCCACTCCAGGCCGTCAAGGACAGGCTGCTGGATAGATAGCTGAACAGACCGCAGACCAAAAGATAAACAGATTGAGAGGAAACGGAGGAGAGATATGCAGATGTGACAGTAGGGTTGTTTTTTCATTCAAACATGAGAGATGAGCAGCTGCAAATCATATAATTGATAAGTACCTGCCAGGCCATTAGAAGAGTTTCCGGAAATGTGGTCGAAATGTGGAGATAGGGCAGGAAGGGATTGGGGTCAAAAGACAGAAAGACAGATGGATAGAATTCAGAAGACAAAGAGACGAGCAGACGATAACGGATTAAAAAATATGGAATAATTTATTCTCAAAATATGAATGACATGTGCAGTGAACAGACTGCGGTATAGACACCACCACGCTCCCTAAACACCCGGGGCCACGGGACAATAATGAATGAGAACTCTGGGGTGATAATGAGAGGTCAAACAGAAGAATAAGTCTCAGGCTTCTACACCTGTGGCCCACCTTCTGCCATCTAAAACCGCCCCTCGACCATTTTGTTCTAACCCCCCCACCCCGTCCAGTTACTCTCATTAGAGCCTACTGAATAATGTAAAGGTATATATGCATATGGGATCCAAGCGAACGAGAGGAGACAGGGTTGAGGGATGGAAGGATCTACATAATAGGGCTATCTCTCCCTCCATCTGGTCATGTGTTTACAATCTCCCCTCCTCCTTTTTTAATACCAATCTATCTGTTCGTCTGACATACCCAAAGCCCCCGACGCCAAAGATCCCAAAACAATACTGCTGTGGCTGCCGCACGCTATCTGCGCACGGCACAATCTGTCCCGTGTCAGTGCGACGAAGACGGTGACTGTGCCGCACGTGCGGCGGTCTCTATCGGTGCCTTTCAGCAGCCGTTTGTGTCAGCTGACGTAAGCACTCCGTTTCCCCCCCCCCCCCCCCCCCCCGGGGAATTAACCAGGCGTCTGCCGCCTGACCCCGTTGACTCCGACCATCCTGGGCTTCAGCTGATACGCGTGTCGCGTGGCCCCCGACATGAGGGGGGACACAAAAGCAGGAGGAGTAGGGGGGAGGCCGAGGACAGAAGGACCAGCAGGCAATG